GATATGGATACAGATCGTTTTGGTGAGTTACTATGAAATCAGAGTTGGAATCTATGTATTCTAATAAATTCTGGGATCTTGTAGAACTTTCTAGTAGGGTGATTCCTATGGAAGGCAAGTTAATCTACAAAAGGATATCAGAAGATTTTTTAGTGAATAAATCATAAGTGTACAAGGGAATGTCATTATTTTTCTAATTCTATATATATATGTTGTTGACATCCTACTCATTTAGAATGACGTGGAAGTTTTGTCATCAATAAAGAGGTAGTTGTTCAATTACTTTTAAATGAAGGATTTTCAAGATGTAAGCTATATTCCTAGGATTAAGCTTTTGCAAGATCAGGTTAAAAGGAAATTAGGCTTATCTTAATAATCCTACATTGATAAAGTTTTGACCAGGTTTGGTATGCATAACTCAAAGAATGAGTTCTTGCTTTATTGATATGGATGGCTCTCTCTAGTAAGTAGTTTTTCAAGACTATCAAAGGAGATTGAGCAAATGAGACTGGAAAAATATGCTTCGGCATATGAGAGTCTCATATATGCCATGGTCTATACCAAACAGGACATCCGCTACATAGTAGGGATAGTCAGTAGAGATCAGTCCAATACTGGACTTGATAACTGGTCTGTTGTGAAAAATATCATTAAGTACCTAAGGAGGACCAAGGATATCATACTCATTTATGGATGTGATGATATGGCCCTAGTCAGGTATGCTAGTTCTGATTTTCAATCAGAAGTAGATACTATGAGGTTCATGACTTAGGGTATGTTCACTTAATGGAAGGGAAATCAGTTGGTAGATTGTTAAGCAGATTTCAACTGTTGACTCAAACTTGCAGGTGGAATATATTGCAGCCTTAAAGGCGGCAAAATAAGCCTATTGGTTTAATCTCACTGATTTAGAGGTTGTGGAGCATACTAGCCTGCCTATCGAGCTATATTGCGACAATAGTGCAGAAGTAGTCCAAACCAATGACCCAAGGTTCCATAGATGAACAAAATACACTGATAGGAAGTATCATGTTCGACATGATATTGTCCGGCAGGAAAATGTACTTGTGGCTAGAACATTGCATTGGAACACAACTTTGTTGATCCATTAACAAAGGTATCGTCGATCAATAGTTTTGATCAACACCTGGATAACATTAGAGTTAGATGCAATTTGAATTGGCTATGAGGGCAAGTGGGAGCTGTTGGGATTTATATGCCCTGGCATAGCAAATTCCTATCTGGATTATAGTAACATATGTTCCTGACATATCTGAAATATTTATGATTTATATAATTGGTGAATTCAATGTATTATGTTTCGATTCACTATGAAATTGATAGTGTCCCTGTGATTACGAGAAATATTTATATATATGTACGTGATGGCAATCAATGCGTGATATATAAATAGTAATTATAAATTGTTCATAGTCGGTAATTATGGATGGACTCATAATTAATTAAGACTTGAACTGGATCCGCATTAGGTTGAGATATATTGCGAGAGCCGTCGTATGCAATTGCTCCCTATCACCGTCATAGCATTTGACTCTTAAGTATGAGAAAATTATAGACTCTTTTATTTATTAATAATTACTTTGATTTGTTCGGCGGATTCTTCGGGATCCTTAGACCGACACTTTGGGTAATTCTGTAATTAATAGTTAGAGGGTTATATTTTCAATATTTGCATCATTGCTACTTGTATTTATTTTGTATTGATTATGGTTGATCACAAAGTAAATTCGAAGGCCTTCGTATGTTTTTAGACAAAATGATTTATTATATATTTATTTATTTAAATTATTATTTTTTGTCAAACAAATGTTTTATTGTGATCTAGCCAGAAATAATCAAAGGTACCAAAATAAATATATTAATTAAGTAGTCGGATTGATGACTTTATTTATCCGATAACTAATTATGCATAGAGGGGTCAAAGTGCAATATTGACTTAGAGGTTATTTATTATTTAATTGGAGTTCAATTAATTTCTTTTAGTGGAGTAGAAATTAATTTATGAATTAATTTAATTGGGTCCATGGACCGGACCAATCATTAATTCATTGTAGCCAATAAAATAATAGGCCCAATGGATTCTCACTCATAGCCCAACTTGATATTGGAATCATATTAGATTTGAGACATGTGAATTAGAGATTGAGAAGGATTAGTTGTTTCCTTTTCTTTACCTTTATGTTGCCTATAAATATACATGGTCTATGTATATTTTAGGAGTGATTTTGATAAGAAGAAAAAAGGAATAAATTTTCTCTCTCTAGAAAATTAGGGTTTATATTCTCATCTAATGGAGGCTCCCACAAGCCTAGTTTTCCAAGGTCATTTATGAAGGCATATGAGTGATTCCTAAAGGCAAAACAATTACCAAGAAGATGGAGATCCAAGGAGAATGCATTTTGCTAAGGGATCTACAATAAGTGAGAACATTCACTTTAGAGCAGAGATCTAAGATTTACTCAAACCTTGATGTAAGTATTCAATCTTTTAATTAAATGATACATCATGTTTTATTTTTGTATGAAACTTGTCTCTATATAATGAATCAAGATTTATGAATTTAAATCCCTCAAAAAAATTTTAAAACTAGCACGTCTCCCAACACTTCTGAGTCTAGCCAGTTTACACGTTCTTAGAACTTCCGGACACCCGTTTTTAGTTGTAACAGGTTCAAAGCTTAAACCCAAGTCACCCTCTTCAACGACTCACTGTATCCAACTATCCATGATGGTCTGTGATAACCGTGATATTCATTGTATATGGATACGGTTATTCATTGCATATGGATATGTATGTAATTATTTTGGTCAGAGAAGAGAGATTTTTTTCTTTTTTTTAAAAAAAAAAAAAAAAAGAAAAAGAAAAAGAGAGATTTTGATTGATCTGTGCCTATATAGTTAGCATATATCTAACAGACCCTATATACCTAAGTTGTCAATTCTTCTTTTGACAACACGCACTCTAACCAAAGGATCTCAGAGATGGTTGACCACTCAATTAGGAGCTGTTAGATAATGTCTTCAAATTTGACCCATAAGATCTTCAATATAATGATCCGTAAGAAAGAGACTATATCTATATTACTCACAGATCATGCAAGTTTAGCAGACCACGTCCTTTGTTGACCGCACTAAATAACTTCAGTCTGCTGGATCAAAATGTACGAACGACTGCATATTACAAATACGTGCAGATTCAAAAATTGTCAAGTGGATTAATATTTTTTTGAGTAGATTAATATTAATAATATATATATATATATATATTTGGTGAGTTTGAGCACACCCAAGCCCTTCCTCAAAGAGGCTTGATGGCTACAGCTGAGGATCGAGGTTGTGGTAGCCCACATGGCTGACGATGGCATTAGCAAAGACTATTGCAAATAATATTGTAATAGTAATAATATTGAAAAAGAGACTCTCCGGCCGGTGCACTCAGTCGATCAACTATTACAAGTACCTTTATCCTTGTATTTATGATGGCAGTGTCATATTATGAAATCTACTCTTTTTCTTGCCCATGATAAATTGGAAGAGTCATTGGATATGGTGGATAGTAGTTACCTCTACCTCCTTAAATTTATCTATGTTCCCATGTGGATTCGACTTCTTAATTAGTTAAATATTATATATCAATTAAAAATTTAACTACAATTGGGTATCAAATTTGAGAATTATTTGGTGGTGATATGAGTATTAGTTATACTCAATTATTTACATATTGATTTTCTCTCATTAAGAGAAACAATTTTAAGTTGTTAACAAAACAAAACAAAACAAGAGGCCAAAGGCCATATATTATTATTCTAATATTAGCATTGTAATTACTCTTAGTGAAGACCATTTTTATTTGAAGATCTAGTGCAAATTATGGTACGAAGAAGAAGGAAGAGAAGTATGGGAACATTAATAAATATAGTTTGGTACAATTGAGTTGATCTTATTTAAAAAAAAAAGAAAAAAAAAACACACACACACACAGTACCTAGGGCTCGATATTCAACAGTACTAGAGCCATAGTGCTGAGCATCTTCTTTAGTGAGCCGTTAAGATGAAGGGTCATGACAGTGTTAGCAGAGCCCACAAATTTACCCCCAACGAACACAGTTGGCACAGAAGGGTTGCACCCGAGCCTCATGAGAGCCCACTCTATTTCCCTCCCTCTCGAGCTCGTGAATCATTGGGCTCACCCCTTGCTCGTAAAACAGTCTCTTGATGGCATGGCACATGCAACATGAACTCTTACTGAAGATCACCACCGCCTTTTGGGACCCCAATTTCATTACACGATCCATTCCAACTGTCACAACCTAGCTTTAAAATATATATATACATATATATATATATATATATATATATATCTCCTTAAAAAAATGTGCAAGAGCTAGAATTGCAATATTAATGCAGTTGTTGGTTACAAGTGATTAGGAAATATGTTGATGAACGTGTGATGGCAATGTAAGGGCTAGAGATCGAAATAGGAGGTAGAGCAAATGTTAGCAAGTTATGAAGTAAGTTCGCTAGTAGTAAGGCTTGGTTTGTGATATACTGAGTTATGATTATGAGTGTTTATATATATATATATATATATAGCTAAAGAGATGTAAGAGAAGGTGGTCTGGATTGCATGGTTTAAATTGTTTAATGAAAAAGGAAGAAAAAGAGATGAAAAGGTGAAGGTTCCTTTAGATATACGGATATAGATGCTAAAATATGTAACCCTTGATTTGATAGGGACTTCTGTGGTTCGCTATGTGCCTTTTAGCTTGTGCCTAGAATCTACAATGTTACTATAAACTTGGTCCAAACAGTGCCGAAAGCAAACCCAACTAAAATTGAAAAATAAAAAAATAAAAAATTGGTGTATCATACATATGTGATGTCAGATTATGCAACTAAGAGAGGGAATGTCAACTTTAGATATATCCATATATGTTGATATTGTAAGCAACATGAATGTTTGCATCACAGTTGATTTACATGTGTTCAGGTAAATGGAAATCCCTTGAACACCCAACAAATTTACATGTAATTTCAAATCATATCCCAAGGTATTCGTTCATTACTTGGGTTGCTCGCACTCACAAACTCCAGACTAGAGACAGCCCAGCCCTGGCAAAGAAAATTGTTCCAAATTACTGCTCTCTGTGCCTTGCTGATGCTGAGAGTCATCAACACCTTTTCTTCAAATGTAGTTTTGCTTCGGAGGTGTGGATGTTTTTCCAACACCTTTGTGGAATTTATGTTGGGGATTCTAACTTATATGACATTACCAACTGGATCGTGTCTAGGTGGAGGGATGGAACTAAAGCTCCAGATGCTTATGTATACAAGCTCTGCCTTACTACAACTGTCTACTTCATATGGAAAGAGAGAAATAGGCGACATGCCATGAATCAAGTTGCCTCTGCTGCTTCAGTTACTAAACTGATCTACAATGATGTTAGGAACCGTCTCTTGTCCTGCAAACTGCGTGATTTGAAGGCTGCGAGATCTATTGCAGCTGCTTGGAGTTTACCTAGTTCTGTTTTTGGTGAGGGGCATTAGTGTGTCTTGCTGGTTCTTGTTGCTGCTGCAACTGTGTTCTCTAGTTGCAGTAGCAACGGGTTTTTGTGGTGTTGGTTTTAGTTTCTGCTGCTTGGCTGGGCCTTTTTATGGCCTCATGGGCTTGTTGCCTTCGGGCCTTGGGCTTTAGCCCCTCCCCCTTGTACAGGTTTTTTCCTTTTAATGAATTTGATTTACCTAAAATAAATAAATAAAAAAAATATATGATAATAATAATTATAAAAAAAAATTACCACTTCCATATCATATATAGGTTGGGACGCCCTTTCCCAAATCGGTCCAACCTATAAAAATCTTTTTCCAAATCCAGACATTTGGCATCCGGGGTGCGATATACATTTTTTAAGAAAAACAATTCAAACATTTAAGATAGATTTTGTAAACTTTTTTTAGTATAATAAACTAATAAACAATAATAATAACAAAAATTTTGTTAAAATTTAAAGCAAAATAAAAATTATAAATAGTAAATGAATATTTATTTATATATTAATTATTAATCTTGCACGTTTCAAACTCAATCCTTTCCTCAATTCGTACCTAATTCTATTAGGATGATCCCAAGGATTAATTTGGATTAGGCCTACAAACTTCGATCAACATCCTTTTCAAACTCAATCCCTTCCCCAATTCGTCCCTAATTCTATTAGACTGATCCCAAATTAATCCCAATAAGGATTGAACCGGGCATACAAACTTCGATCAAAATCCTCTTCTTTGAGTGAAACACATAATATTAGCTTTAAAAAAAAAAACAAAAAATATGTAATTCATCATGAGAATTTAAAAAACACAAGCCAATTATTCAACATCTTCCACAGAAACACATGTCCGCCCTGCGCACAAATTACCATCCTTCCTCCCCGGAGAAGATGGCTAACTGGCATCTGCTTCCGTGTCGGCTCATCTATCTGTTGGGATTTATATGCCCTGGCATAGCAAATTCCTGTTTGGATTAATTGACATATGTTCCTGACGTTTCTGAAATATTTATGTTTTATACAATTGGTGAATTTAATGTATTATATTTCGATTCACTATGAAATTGATAGTGTCCATGTAATTACAAGAAATATTTATATATATGTATGTGATGGCAATCAATGCATGATATATAAATAGTAATTATAAATTGTTCATAGTCGGTAATTATGGATGGACTCATAATTAATTAAGACTTGAATAGGATCCGCGTTAGGTTGAGATATATTGCGAGAGCCGTCGTATGCAATTACTCCTTATCACCGTCATGGTATTTGACTCTTAAGCATGAGAAAAGTATAGACTCTTTTATTAATTAATAATTACTTTGATTTGTTCGGCGGATTCTTCGGGATCCTTAGACCGACACTTCGGGTAGTTATGTAATTAATAGTTAGAGGGTTATATTTTCAATATTTGCATCATTGCTACTTGTATTTATTTTGTATTGATTATGGTTGATCACAAAGAAAATTCGAAGGCCTTCGTATGATTTTAGACAAAATGATTTATTATATATTTATTTATTAAATTATTATTTTTGTCAAACAAACATTTTATTGTGATCGAGCCAGAAATAATCAAAGGTATCAAAATAAATATATTAATTAAGTAGTCGGATTGATGGCTATATTTATCCGATAACTAATTATGTATAGAGGGGTCAAAGTGCAATATTGACTTAGATGTTATTTATTATTTAATTGGAGTTCAATTAATTTCTTTTAGTGGAGTAGAAATTAATTTATGAATTAATTTAATTGGGTCCATGGATCGGGCCAATCATTAATTCATTGTAGCCAATAAAATAATAGGCCCAATGGATTCTCACTCATAGCCCAACTTGATATTGGAATCATATTAGATTTGAGACATGTAAATTAGAGATTGAGAAGGATTCGTTGTTTCCTTTTCTTTACCTTTATGTTGCCTATAAATATACATGGTCTATGTATATTTTAAGGGGGATTTTGATGAGAAGAAAAAAGGAATAACTTTTCTCTCTCTAGAAAATTAGGGTTTATGTTCTCATCTAATGGAGGCTCCCACAAGCCTAATTTTCCAAGGTCATTCATGGAGGCTTATGAGTGATTCCTAAAGGCAAGACCATTACCAAGAATATGGAGATCCATGGAAAAGATGTCTAGCAAAAGGGATTTACAATAAGTGAGAACATTCACTTTAGAGGAGAGATCTGAGGTTTACTCATACCTTGATGTAAGTATTCAATCTTTTAGTTGAATGATACATCATATTTTATTTTTGCATAAAACTTGTCTCTATGTGATGAATCAAGATCTATGAATTTAAATCCCTCGAAAAGTTTTTAAAACTAGCACGTTTCCCAACAGTGGTATCAGAGCATGGTTTGATTCATTATTAGAGATCATGATTTTATGAAAATCATCATTCATGGATCCAAATTTATATATGCATATGTGTATGTTTTATATATGATCATGATATATGTATATTTGTGATTGAATGATGTTTATGTATGTTTGGGCCATGGATAAAGCTTATAGGTTAATTGAATGTAATTTTATTTTTGAATGAATGTAATTAAGGTTTCGATTTAGCCATTTGAAAGTTCAATGATGTAATTTAATTTTTTCCATTGTATTTCAAATTGTAAATATTTTTAAAGCCATGTAATATTCATCAAAGGATGCTATGAAGCTTCAAGAAGGTCCAAGAGGGTTAAATTAGGCTTCAGTAATTTTCCGGAATTTTTCTAGAATTTTTCAAAATTTTTCTGGAATTTTTTGGGCTTAAATTAATTTCTGGAAATTTTTATTAATTTTTCCTGGCAATATCGGCGGTTTTCCGGCGAAATTCCGTCGTCCAGAGCATCACCGGCGGCAAGCGAAGTGCCGGAAGTGGTCGGATGATCCGGTGCAGCGCGGTTCACATGCGCGCGTACCAGATGCCGTTGGATCAAGATCATTGCTGAAGAATTATCACATGCAGCGCGCCTACATGTCTATTGGTGCGCACCCAGTGGTACAGCGCGTGAGTACACGCGCATTGGCTGGAGTCGCCAACTAGCGCGTGCCAGCGCGTCCACGCGCTGGCAGTTACAAGCACGCGCGTGCCGGCGCATGGCAGCGCGTGCAAGCGCGTGACACGCGCTGCAAGCACTCCCCAGCGCGTGCAGGCGCGTGGGAGCGCGTGGCACGCGCTGGAACTTTCCAGTAGCGCGTGGAGACTTCCTGTCCACTCCCCTAGCGCGTGGGAGCGCGTGGGGACATGCTGGACACTCTCCAGGCGCGTTCCAAGCCGTGTTTTGCTTCTCCTGGTGCGTACCAACCTTATGTGGGTGTTTGCAAGCTGATGGAAGATCTTCGCGCAGTGATTAGAGCAATTAAATGTTAAAAGCTAAATCCATTGGCCATTTTATTTGTTTTATCTGTTATTTATTGATTTATGCGATGTATGAAATGCATGGAATATATAATTGTTAATTAATTATTGTTCATGCATTGGATCCATGATATTTATTTAAATAGCTTGATTTATATTAGTTAAATTATGAAAATGAATTGGATTTGATTACTAATTAATTTGAGGGCACTTATTGGGAAACGCAAAATTATTTTTTGTAAATTATTATTATTTTTTTTTTTTAAAAGTGTGCTTCAAATTAAATATTAGTGAATCATTTAAAGTCCAAATATTTTCTAAATTTAATTGGATTAAAATCAAGACATTTTGCATGCATTATATCATGTGAATAAATAAATTCAAAACCCTAATTATGAATGATTAAAAATTGAGTGGGAGCGGGGATTTTTATACATTGCCCCATGGCCTTTGTTATTAACACCATTATAATTAGATCTTCAAAAAGAAGGCCCCACGCATGATTTGAAGAGTCTTAATATTACAAGAATGGTTGTCTCATGAAAATACAAATATTAAATGTTCATTGTAATTAGATCTTTAAAAATAAGGCCCTACGCATGATTTAAAGAGTCTAGATTATAATGACAACATATTTAATGTTTGATTTTTCGTTAGAGTTTTAATAACGTTATACACTCAATCTAAAATCAATAGTGTTAGCTTCCCAACGAAGTGGTCTATACTAGGTGATTTTAGAAAGGCTAAATTAAATCGGGAATCATTTCATATGATAGATAAGGCATTGTCTTAAGAGATATGGAAATGATGGGATTTGCCCGCCAATAGCAATAATGAACTTCGCCAACCGAATAAGTTATTGGCGTATTGGTTATTCGATTTTTCATGCAGTGGTTAAGGGACCCACATATTATTATTTTAATGGAAGTGCTCGCTTAATAGCAAATGAATCTCAATAATAGTAATAATGAACTCCTCCAACAGGATAAGTTATTGACATATTGATTAGTTGATTTATTATGCTACAGAGTTGAGGGACCTGCATTAATTAAAAGGGATTGTTCACCAATAATGATAATGATCTCTTGTTCGATTGAGATTTATTGTATTATATGGTTAACAAGCTCATTTTAATTTTAAATATGCATGACATTATTAATAGTTCACCTTGCATATTGTATGAATGTATTTATATTCAGATTAATTATGTCTCATCCAGTTTATCTGCTTGCTTACATATTCTATGATATTGGACCTTATTTATAATGACTGGAAAATGAACTTAGATATTTTATTCACAACGTAAGGGTACAAAATGTGTTTATTACTCCTATACCTATCTCTTTTACTTTGAGATACCAAATTTGACATTAATGCTTTTAATAAATTAGATAAGACAAATGATATGACTTGGTGCAATATTCTAGAGTTTAGCTCGAATATACTCCAAAGCTAACATTTGTATTATTTTATTTTTTTCAAGCATCATGTTAAATGTCAATAAAATGTTTTGGTGAGATTAGATAGAGAGTATGCCAAAGTACTATGTCAGACTTGAATAGCATCAAGATAGCCTAAGGAACTCCAGTATGAAACCGAATTTTGAAAAATGATTGTTTATTATTTAAAATTAGCTG